CCTGGCTCCTGGTTTCGGATCAGCGCAGCACCGGCCGTTGTGGCTCACTTGGGGAGTGAATCATCGGATGAAAGATCTTCCTCTCTGTCTCTCCTCCTCTCTGTATATCTGACTTTGTAATAAAAATGAATAAATCTTAAAAAAAGGAAAAAGAATCTGGAAAAAAGAAAAAAGAAAACTGTGAAACTTCCTTGGGAGTTTGCCACAGCGGGCTGCAGGTTCGGTAGGCCCACGGGCAGCACCCTGGTGACCCTGGTCCTGCCATGTGGGCCAGCAGATAGCACCCTGCAGCACCACGTCCTGCTCTGTCATGCCAGGGCTTCAGTCCTGTCCCTGCCTGCTCACAGCTTTGGGAGCTTCATGAAGATGGGGCTCTCGTGGCAATGGTATTCACCAACATCCATGGAGCCCGTAGGGCAGCCTGGGAACACAGGTCAACACCCACCATGGGCCACAGTATTTGGTAGCCACCATGCCCACCCCCCAAAAGGACTTTTAAAGTTATGTTTATTTAATAGACAGGAGCTGGCACCATGGTACAGCATGCTATGCCTCCACCTAAGTTGCTGCCCTCCCACATGGATGCCAGCTCTAGTCCTGGCTGTTCCAGTTCCCAGCTAGCTCCCTGCCGATGGCTTGGGAGAGCAGTAGAGGACGACCCGCTGAGGACAGCTCCTGACTAAAGATTGCTCAGCTCCAGTTGTTGCCCTTTGAGGAATGAACCGGGCTGTCTCTCTGCCTTTCAAATAAAAACAGATCTTAAAAATAAATAAAAAGATAGATTTTCCATCTGTGGCTTTACTCCCCAGATTCCTTCAATGGCCACGAGTAGACCAAGCCAAAACCAGCAGCCAGGAATTTCCTCCAGGCTCTCACTGCTTTTCCCAGGCCACGGGCAGGGAGTTTGATGGGAAGTGGAACAGTTGGGACCTAGATGGAACCAGTGCCCATATGAGATGCCAGTGTCGTAGACGACTTTACCCACTCTGCCACAAGGCCAGCCACGTGGTTCGTTTGGCTTGATGTAAAGTCAGGGCTGTTGAGGCAGGCTGCTGCTTGTCTCCAGCCAGCATCAGTGAAGGCCAAGGGCAGAAGTGACATTCCCACTGCTGTTGGCACGTGCAGCGGGCAGCATTGAGACACCTGTCACTGTCCACAGGGTGTCTCTGGGAATTGGGCCATTTCGTGAGTCATATTCCAACACATGTGGGCATCAAAGATTTGGTTTAGACTTTACTGAGTGACAGAAAAGTTATTCAGTGAAGTAACCCAAGGCTAGCGTTGTACTGCTGCTAGTTTGAGCTGCCTTTGTCAGGAAAAACTGTCTTTTGAGACTCTGCAACCTAATAATTTATACATGCATATATACATATATGTCATCAGCAGGCAGTGCATGCCTGTTCATATGACGACTAGCGAGGTACACAGTCAGCCCTCAGGGTCCCAGGAACATTAGTTCCTGCACCCATGGCTACCCAAATTGGCAGGTGCACAAACCTCTTCTGTCAAGTAGCATGGCGCTTGCATGGTATATCCTATGCACATCCTCTCCTGTATCTTTTCTTTTTTAATTTATTTGGAAGGCAGAGATCTTCCACCCACTGCTTCACACCCCTGAATGGTGCCATAGAAGGAACCGGGCTAGCAGCCTGGACCGCGAGTGAACTTAAGTCATCACTGCTGCCCCCTGCTGGCCCGGGGCGAAGATGCACTAGGGTCACTCCATCCAAGCCGCTGCAACAAGCATCCACATTAATTTTTGGGGTGGCTTGCGGTGTCACTTGGTGCGTACCCTGGCATGGATGTGCATGCTTGTGTTATTATGTGGGGACTAGCAACCCACGGATGTCTGTGCTGTCGAGTGCAGCCCTCACTGCTGACTGTGCCCTCAGCTCAGCATCACATCTTGGATGGATGGGAGAACAGGGCCACCGGACCCAGGCCTCGGACCCCACCCAGCGCGTCACGCTGTCACAGGGTCTGCAGCGCCCACTGCTCACGTGGGTTTCAGTAACAGCTGGCCATTCACACCGGTGACCAGCCTTGTGCGAGATTTTTCTGGGCTTGGGGCCGTGCAGTGGGGATGGTCCTACCAGGCTATTTTCAAGGAGAGCTCGGGAGCCCCACGCACCATCCGCTGGTCCCTCTCTCACACACACACACACACACACACACACACACACACAGGCTACTTTGTACCTGCTACCTGGACCCTTCCGTGGGGTGGCTGTCTGGGAGAAACGCCCCCCCTTCCCCTGTCAGGATATTCCTGGGGTGACTGTGAGAGAGCTGGAAGTGCTCCCCAACACCTCTGCAGTGGCTGGAGGAGACGGCCTCCAGGCCTCCGTGTGGCGTGGCATTCCTGGGCAGAGGCGTGCTCAGCTGGCAGGTGAGGGAGGGGCCCTGGTGATCTGGAACCCCAATTAATATGTCACAGTCTCCCCCAAATTCTCAGAGTGCAGTCCCTCGGGCTCCGGCAGGTGTTAGCTGTGGCCCGGTGCAGGAGTTTTCCAGGTGTTTTGTCAGCTAGCCACGCATTCCCCAGGCCAGCTGCCCCAGACAGGGTCTTGGGGACAAAGAACAAAGTTTCCTTAAGATTTGTTTACTTCCGGCCCGGTGCGATAGCGTAGTGGTTAAGGTCCTCACCTTGCACGCGCCGGGATCCCATATGGTCGCCGGTTCTCGGGGCGCCCTAAAGCCTTGGGACCCTGCCCCCGCGTGGGAGACCTGGAAGAAGCTCCAGGTTCCGGGCTTCGGATTGGCTTTTGCAGCCATTGTGGTCCCTTGGGGAGTGAGTCATTGGACGGAAGATCTTCCTCTCTGTCTCTCCTCCTCTCTGTATATCTGCCTTTCCAATAAAAATAAATAAATCTTTAAAAGATTTTTTTACTTCCTTGAAAGGCAGTTAAATGGGTAGAGAAAGCGGATAGAGGATCTGTGTGTGTGACTGTGTCTTTTTGAAAGAACGAGATCTTCCAACCTGGGATTCGCTCCCCAAGTGGCTGCCACAAGCAGTGCTGGGCCAGGCTCAGGCCGGCAGCCAGCAGCTTATCTGGGTCTCCCCTGTGGGTGCAGGGGTGCAAGCACCACAGGCCACCCTCCTCTGCCCTCCCAGGCCTGTGAGACGGAGTTGGATCAGAACTGGAGAGCCAGGACTGCACGCAGCGCCCTGGTGGGACGCCAGGGTTGGGAGCGACAGTGGCTCAGTACGCAATGTTGGCCTCCGGTGGCGGCGTCTTCTCTTGGGGCGGTGTGTCTTCGTTCCTTTTGCCTCAAGAATTCTAATTTCCCTTTCAGTTTCTTCCTTGACCCGTTGGTTGTTCAGGATCAGAGCGCCTAACTGCACAGGTGCAGATCCACCTAAATCCTTCCTGCTCCCTAGTTTCTCGCCTTGATGGGTGACCCTCAGAAAGCCTGGAAGAAGGCACAGCTGGGATTTGAACCCAGCACTCCAGGACGGGATCCCCGAGTCCTGGGAGGCACATTAGCTGTTGCATCAGTGTATCGTTGGGACTTAGCAGACAAGCTAGCTGCTTTCACTGCTCTTAGGGGAACCCGGGCAAACGCCAGCACCCCCCGGGTGCCATCCCCGGGGTTACTGTTGGCACCCCAGTTCCCGCATCCCTCTCCGTCCTGTTTCTCGGCCTGTGTGCGCGTTGGTTCCCAGAGGCCGCAGTGCTGCTCTCTGATCGTGTGCCCGTGGCGGGCCTCGCATCCTTACTGAGCGGGAAATCAGACAGCTGGACATTTCAAGGTTCCCACATGTGGGGTCCCAGGGGTAGCTGTGTTGTGTGGACAAATCTCAGCCTGTCACACCTTATAAGATTAGATACTCCCGTGGCAACAAATCAGTGGGGGATTTGCTCTAGAGAAACGCAAACTTTGGCCAAAGGGCGGCCGAGCCGGGTCTCTCACAGAGTGGATCAGACGCAGAACGGGCAGGACTCCATCCCAGGCGTTCTCAGCGATGTCAGCGCCGCTGAGCCAAAGGCTGCCCCTGCCTTCTCTCAACTTAAAAAAGAATTCCCTCTCTCTCTCTCCCTCCCTCGCTCCTTGCATGTAAGCAAACACTTCCAGACTGACTGCTGCAGTCACTTCCTTGTAAATATTTCCTAAAGATGGACGTCTGGGTGGAAACGAGGCTTGAGAAGTGCCCGCCCGACACCAGCCTGCATGGTATGTTCCCCCGCACGTGTGTGCACACGGGTGACGCCCCCGTGCAGGCGACGTCGGGGACGCACTGCGCGTGCGTGCGCCCGTGTCCTCGGGATCCCCGAGCCGGCAGTGCTGGGCAGGTGGGAGCGGCGGGCGGCCGGACTCGGGGGACACGCGTGGGGTGAGCGAGCCTGGCGACGGAACAAAGACGCGGGCGCCAGGGGGCAGCCAGCAGAGCACGGATCCCCGCGTGCAGAGCCGTGGTCCAGCGCAGCCCGTGCTCGCCTCGTGCGTGTGGATGGAGCACCTCGCCTCCAGGTGAGGAGGGAGCACCTGCCGGCCCAGCGCCGACTGACCAGTGCCTGCCCGTCCCCGGGGTGGGAGCCCTGGCCAGTGCCCGCCTGTCCCCGGGGTGGGAGCCCTGGCCAGTGCCTGCCCGTCCCCAGGGTGGGAGCCCTGGCCGCTGCCTGCCCGTCCCCGGGGTGGGAGCCCTGGCCGCTGCCTGCCCGTCCCCGGGGTGGGAGCCCTGGCTTTCCCGTGCAGCTCAGGTCACCCCGATGTGTCCTGAGAGGACCACAGGTGGTCCCCCCAAGAAGTAGCCATGAGGAGCATCCTGAAGAGGTGCCCTGTCCTGGAGGAGGGCAGGAGTATCTGCTCCCACAGACCGGGCACCCCGAGTGGGTCAGGAGCACTGTGGCGCTGGAAGATAAGGCTTCAAAGAAAAATGGCTTGTGACCAAGTATTAAGTGGTGCTAATGCTTGCTCGAAATGTGTTTTTGCAAAGGTGTAATTGCTGTTAAAGCTGCAGTGGTTCTTTAAAGTACAAAACTGAGAATGGGATCTGCTTACAGTGAGGGCGGGAGTGTGGGCAGGCTGGCAAGCAGAGGGCTAGCTGAGGCCAGCCGGCCACCTGCAAGGACAAGAAAAGGGAGGGCGGCAGGGGAAGCGGGGGCACCTGGCAGTGCTGGGCATGTTGCATCCAGCTGGGGGGCTACACCTCGCAGCCTCCACCCCACACTCCTTACCTCCCTTCCAGGGGCTTGTTAGCTTATCCCTGTCGGGACTCGGTGTTCTGACGAGGCCACATGGCACAGGCACCTCTTGCCCCGTCCTCCCAAGCCAGGGAACACAGACCACTGTCTGGGGTCTTTTCTGTGAGGACCTGAATCCCTTTCCAGAAGCTTCTCTGGGTCAGGACACAGTCTCACCCGGACCACCTCTCCCCCGGCGCCAGCCACACGTGTAGGCGCCAGGACTCGCGAATGGCCAGGCTAGGGCAGAGTATGAGGTGGCCTTAGCCACAGGAGGGGGGTCCCTCAGGCCCCTAGGACTCGCTGCTGACTCCCTGCTGGCACGGCTCTATGCCAGAATCTTCCTCTTTCCCAGGGGTTCAAGGCCACGTGTGCATGTGTGTGCCCGTGCTCCAGGCCCACAGGCGGAGGGGAGGGGCGGAAGGCGTGTTGGCACCTTCAGGACCCCGAGTGTACCTGTTCTGACCGGTTCTTTCCACACTCCTGACCTGTGTCCCCAGCAGAAGGAACTGGCAGGATGGCCAGCAAAAGCTCGCCGTCTCAGACCATAAGTGCCGGCTCAGCAGCGGGTGGGGGGCAGGCTTGGTGGCGGGGCTCCGCACTCCTGTGCGGGCTGTGGGCCAGGCCGAGGGACCTCGCTCTGGGACCTGGGTCATTGTTGCTGTTCTCCCTGGGTCAGGAGCAAGGGGGCAGCTGGCATCGCGGTCCAGGGAGAGCAGCTGTGCGCCGGCCCTGGGAAGCCCCTCTTAGGCGGGAACGAGGCAAGGTTCCAAAACTGCTTTGCTCTAAGGTGGGCTTTTGAGCAAGTTCATTTCCCAGACCCTTTAGCTGTACTCTGGTTTGTCCCAAGAAACAGAGACCTTGGGTGGCGGGTCCCCAGGAGCACCTACCAGGGGGCTGGAGCAGAAGAGGATTACGGGAGGGCAGCCCAGACGGGTGCTGGCTCAAGCCCCACCCGCTCCACCATCTGACTCACTCTGAGGGTGTCTGGGGCCAGTTCTGTGGTGTAGCAGGTACAGCTGCTGCCATGGCTGCTGGCACACCAGCATCCCACATGGGCTCCAGGTGGAGTCCCAGCTGCTCTGCCAGCTCCCTGCCCGAGGGCTTGAGAAGCGGCAGGGCACGGCCCAAGTCCTTGGGCCCCTGCACCCGCATGGGGGCCCAGAAGAAGCTCCTGACTCCTGGTTTAGCCTGGCCCAACCTTGGCCATGGCACCCATTTGGGAAATGAGCCAGTGAGTGGAAGAGCGAGAGGGTGTGTGTGTGACTCTTTTAAATACATTTTGTAGAAAAACAAAGATTTATTTCAAAGGCGGAGTTCCAGAGAGGGAGACATGCCAGAGAGCTTTCAAATATTGGTCACTCCCTACAATGCCACAAGAGCCAGAGCGTGGGCAGGCCAGGGCGCTGCTTTGTCCTGCAAGGTCCAGGCTACAACAGAACTGTGCCAGGGCTTACATGGGGCGCGTCCCTGTCCACGGGGGACATTTTCCATTGGGGGTGAGAAGTGCCAGCTGCAGCTCTGAGCACAGCGTCTTCCTAGCCCTTCAGCAACCCCATCATAGAAGAGGGGGTCCCTTCCACTGCACTACGCCAACAGCCTTCAGAGGGACCTAGAACCCCCCTTCACCTCCGCTGTGTTCCCGAAACACCTGGCTGCCTGCCATACTGTGGAGGAGCAGGGCCCTGGCACCACCACCCACCCTGGTACGGCGCCTACAGGCAGCGCTGGAGGGGAACACCTGCAGTAGAAGGGGCATCTCACCCCTAAGAGCTGCTCATGGGGACCACCCTTCCAACGAGGCCGCCACAGCAGGTGGGCCCCGCCCTCCCGGAGCTCCGCATGTGAACCACGGGGAAGGGTGTAGGAGGTGGGAGATGAACAGACCCCCCTCAGGCGCACACGGACCAGGCGCTGGCACCCAGCGCTCACGCGTACAGTGGGGTCAGCCTCAGGGAGGGTACAGCCTGGGGTTCGGACTGCCCCGGGGAGGGGCTTGTGCATGACCGACAGGACCTCAGACTGAGCACACGGTGCAGTCAGGGGGTAAACGGCCTGCTGGCCCCACAGGTGCCACGGGCGAGGCCTCGCTGGTCGCGACCTCACAGGTCTGTCCTGACAAGCGCCCCACAACAGGATGGGCGCACAGTGCCAGGCATCAGCCAAGCCACGCCCACACAAAACTCAACCAGAGGACTCGGCCAGGGCTTCTTTATTGTTACAACTGTTACAAACACCTAGGGCATCCCCTCCTGCGCTTCACCTCACCTCACCTCACCTCGCTTGCACCTGCTCACCACAGGGAGCACCTTTGGTCCACACCCTTCAACCTGCAGTCCCTGGATCCCTGTGGACTGCTCTGGGCCAGCTGTGGGCCAGCTCACTTCCCGGCTGAAGCTCCCCACTCCCCACCCTCACGGAATTGCGTGCACACCCTGGGCCTGCCACCGGGGCCAGGCAGTGCCTCGACCGAGACACCTCCGGCACGGTCCACACCGGTCACCGTCCTACTCTACTCGCCAGCCCCTTTTTCTCAGCATCCACACTGTCCACAGTGTATCCTTATGTCAAAAAACACTACGCTGTGGGGCCAGCACCATGGCACTGCAGACTAACCCTCCACTTGCACTGCCAGCATCCCATTTAGGTGCTGGTTCATGTCCCGGCTGCTCCGCTTCCCATCCAGCTCCCTGCTAATGTGTCTGGGAAGGCAGCAGAACGGCCCAAGTGCTCGTATCCTTGCATCCATGTGGGAGCCCGGGAAGATGCTCCCAGCTTCAGCCTGGACCAGTCCACTACTGCCACCGTTTGGGGCGAGAACCAGCCACGGCTGATCTGTCTGTTTTGTCCTTCTAACTCTAACTCTGCCTTTCAAATTAAAAAAACAAACAATCTTAACCGTGTTTCATAAATATACACAATTTCAACTTGTCAGCTTATAAAAATAAGTCTCTGGAAAAAAATGTAAAGGCATCCTGCTCCCAAACCGCAGACAGAGCTGCAAAGCTCCCCGCGTCGAAGCGCCCCACCCCGACCCCAGGGCCCCGCTGACTCCGATTAAACCGATTCCGCAGCAGGGGCACCCGCACCCTGAGCCTGGGAGCTGGGGTTGGGCGGCTGCCGGTCCTTCTCCTCCAGGCTGTGTCGGATCCCGTAGCCAAAATACATGGCAAATCCTGAGGGGGGGAGCGAGTCAGTGAGGTAGGGACACGACAAAGCTCCCAGATGCCCTTACGAGGCCAGGGGGACCTGTGCCCGGGTCAGGAAGAAGGGCCAGGCACACGCACCCATGAGCCTGGACAGGCACCCACAGGCCCAGCCGGGCACTCACCCATCACCATCCAGACTCCAAACTGGCCCCAGGTCCTGCCGGTCATCTGCATCATGAGGTACACATTCACGAAGATGTTAGTCAGTGGGAGCGCGGGCAAGGCGGGCGCCTGTGGGCACAGCACAGGGAACCTGTCAAACCGGGTACTGGGCTGCAGGGCAGGGGTAACAGATGTCTGGATGAATAACTTAGTAAAGGGGCTGGCACCGTGGCACGCTGCTTCAGCCGCCACCTGGGACACCAACATGCCACACAGGTGCTGGTTGGAGTCTTGGCTACTCAGCTTCCCCTGCAGCTCCTGCGGCTGCGCCTGGGAAAGCAGCATGCGATGGCCCTGGGAGACCTCCGGGCTCTGGCTTTAGCCTGGCCTAGCCCTGGCTGCTGGGACTGAGGAGTGAACCACTGGATGGGAGATCTCTCAGCTCTGCCTCTCAAGATATATACTTCTAAATACACAGTTCTGGGCCCAGTGTGGTGGCCTAGCAGCTAAAGTTCTTGTCTTGCACGCTCCAAGATCCCATATGGGCTCTGGTTCTAATCCCGGCGACCCCACTTCCCATCCAGCTCTCTGCTTGTGGCCTGGGAAAGCAGTGGAGGACAGCCCAAAGCCTTGGGACCCTGCACCTGTGTGGGAGACCCGGAAGAAGCTCCCGGCTCCTGGCTTTGGATCAGCTCAGCTCCAGCCACTGCAGCCACTTGGGGAGTGAATCAGCAGATGGAAGAGCTTCCTCTGTCTCTCCTCTCCATATATCTGACTTTCCAATAAAGATAAAATAAATCTTTAAATAAATAAATAAATAAATGCACAATATCAAAACATATTCTCAGTAGCTGTTATGTTTGCTAACAGAAAAGTGGGAAGGCCCATTGCTGCTCCACGCCCCCAGCGCCCCCAGCTGCCGGGGCTGGCTGGACCCTGTCACAGAACCCTAGGAAAGGGGGGCTTAGCCAGGTCCTCAGCACCCACCTTCCAGCTTCCCCTCCCAACCCCAGGAGTTAGGGTACGCCAGGCTGGGTGACTCAGAGCAAGCTCCCCCACCTTGAAGTGCAGCGGGGTGGCATCCTGGGGCTGTCTCCACACCACGCAGGCAAGCCCGGCCACGAACAGCAGCAGCAACGCGGCCCCCGCCACACAGACGGGGTCTCCGGTGAAGAGCCGCTGTGGCCACTGGGTCAGCAGCAGGCTCAGGGCGACCAGCAGGACAACTGCAAGGGCCGGGGAGAGCTCTGGTCTGACGCCACCCCCGGAGGCAGCCCATGCCCTCGCCCCAACACCAGCTCCAGGCAGGCCCACATGCTCACCAAGCAACGAGGCATAGACATACACAGCCCGGCCTGACTCGAGCGTGGGGAGCGGGCGCACCGGACTACATGGATTCCCTCGAGTCTTCGAGGTGTCTGCATCGGAGACGTGCTCTGACACCGCCACCTCTGGCTGGACAGGCTTCATCTCAAATCCTCCCTGCGTCTCCTCCTTGGCTGTGTTCCGGTCGGGCTGGTACCTAAGTCAGAGGCACGAGGTAAGAGATAACACGGGGGTGGGCTTCTCTGCCACCTGCACCACCGCCATCCCCTGTGAGCACCCCTCGGAGTCCAGTTCCCTGCTAAGGCGCTTGGGAAAGCCACGGAGAGCGGCCGAGTGCTCAGGGCCGCGGGGGCACCCCAGGGAGCTCCCAGCTCCTGCCCACACCCGGCTCTTGTAGTCAGGGAGGCTCCACAAGATACAAAATCTCCACCTCTGCCTTTCAAACACGGGTGCCCACCAACCTCCACGAGACCCTCACACAAGGCAAGGCTCACCTGAGGACCAGGACGGAGAAGGCCACCAAGGAGTAAGCCAGCAGAGTGCCAATGGACGTGAGGTCTACCAGGTCACTGAGCTCAAAGAGGAAGGCCATGACCGCTGTGATGGACACACACCAGGCATGAGGACCACACGGGGCACCGCCCTGTACCCAGGACACGTGGCCACCCTGTACCCAGCACACGTGGCCACCCAGCACCCCAGCACACGTGGCCACCCAGGGCTGTTTATTGTCACCTGCGATGACTCCAGAAACAGCCGTGGCCAGCACGGGGGTGCGGGTGCGGGCGTGGACCCTGGCCAGTCCTCGGAAGAGGAGTCCGTCCTCTGCCATGGAGTAGATCACGCGGGGCATGGGGAACATGGCGCCCAGGAGGCTGCAGGAGGGGCGGGCGGCAGCGTGAGACACGTGGGGAGTGGACGACAGCGGGAGACGCATGATATGGGGGACACGGTGCCCAGGAGGCTGCAGGAGGGGCGGGCAGCAGCATGAGACGCGCGTGGGGAGGCGTGGGCAGCAGTGTGGCACACGTAGGGAGGCGTGGGCAGCAGCGACACGCGTGGGCGGCAGCAGCCCTCCCAGGGTCAGGCCACCCCGAGCAGGGCACTGACCTGGAGGACAGGGCACACAGCGTGCCCACGGCCACGGCGTACCGGAGAGGCGCCCACCCGACGTGGACGAAGGCCTCGGGCAGGGGGCTCTCGGTGTGGATCTCGTAGTAGGGGACCATGAGGGTGAGAGCGGCGGACACACCGAAGTAGGCCAGAAAGCAGATGAAGAGCGAGAGGATGATGCCCAGCGGGATGGAGCGCTGCGGGTTGTGCGCCTCCTCGCCTTGTTGGGGTCACGACACACACACACACACACGTGGGACGGGAGTCCCGCCTCCCTCCCCACGTCACGGGCCGCGCCGCGTTTCCGCCCTGACAGGCGCGCAAACACACACTGCGCCTGCGCGGATGTGCGCCTCCGCATCGGGGCATGCGCGCCTCTGCAGCGGAGCATGCGCACGCAGACCCGCGTTACCTGTGGTGGCGATGCCATCAAAGCCAATGAAGGCGAAGAAACACGTGGCAGCTCCGCGGAAGATCCCGTCCACCCCGAACGGGACGAAGCCCCCCGAGCCCAGCGGGCCCAGGCTGTGGAGAGAGCAGCGCAGGAAGATGAGGGGCCAGAGCTGCGGGGCCCGCAGACCCCCACGTCCCCGGCACTCCCTGCCGACCTGGAGCCATTGGCGGCCGCCAGCGCGCGGCTGTAGTCGTCCTCCGTGAGCCTCCAGTTGCGCAGCTGGCCCTGGATGAAGCCGGACACGATGACGCAGCCCAGCACGAGGAGGTTCACGCCGGTGAAGAACTTGCTGACCAGGGCCGACTCGCGGGCGCCCAGGGCCAGCAGGCCTGCGGCAGACAGCGGGAGAAGTGAACCCACAGGCCGGCAGAGCGCACGTGCGCATGGGGAGACGGGGCATCCTCTTGGGGGGCTCAGCTCGTGACATGGTGCGGGCACAGCACCCCATGCCCTCCTTGCCACTTCTTCCTGTCTGCGTGGAACATCCGGGGCACATCCTCTAAACGGGCCAAAGCCCAGAGTTGACACTCGGGGCAGGCCTCGCATGTTGGTGGCAAGCACCTCCCTACCACGCCATCACTGCTGCCCCCGACCCCTCCCAGGGTCTGCACTGGGGGAGAGCTTATTTTTATTGGGAAGGAGATAGAGAGGAGAGACAGAGAGGAAGATCTTCCATCTGATTGTTCACTCCATAAGTGGCCACAACAGTTGGAGCTGAGCCAATCTGAAACCAGGAGACTGGAGCTTCTTCCAGGTCTCCCACGTGGGTGCAGGGTCCCAAGGCTTTGAGCCATCCTTGAAGTGGGAGCATGGGAAGTGGAGCGGCAAGCACATGAACCAGTGGCCATATAGGATCCTGGCGCATGCACGGCGAAGACTTCAGACGCTAGGCTATGGCGCAGGGCCTGGCGCAGTAGCCTGGTGCCTAAAGTTGCAGCCTCATATGCACCAGGATTCCATATGGGCACTAGTTCATGTCCCGGGAGCCCTGCTTCTCATCCCGCTCCCTGCTTGTGGCCTGGGAAAGCAGTCGAGGACGGCCCAAAGCCTGGGACTCTGTACCAGCCAGGGAGACCCGGAAGAGGCTCCTGGCCTCAGAGGAGCTCAGCTGTGGCCGTCACGGTAACTTGGGGAGTGAGCCAGTGGACGGCCTCCCTTCCCTCTGTAAAAGTTTTCCAGTAAAAACAAATCAATAAAAGCGCCCTTGCCTGGTTGTTCCCATTTGGGGTGGAAGGTGACGCAGCAGTGAAGATCAACAGTGGCAAGCCGTCATTTCCATCCCTCCACACCCTTTGCCTGTACGGTGCTTCAAGGGCAGAGTTACACAGGAGACACACAGAGATCTTCCCACGTGGCTTCAAGGGCCAGAGATGAGCCGATCAGAAGCCAGGTGCTTAAGTGGCCAGCGCCCTGGCACTGCATGCTAACCCTCGGCCTGTGGCGTCAGTATCCCATATGGACACTGGTTCACGTCCTAGCTGCTCCACTTCCCATCCAGCTCCCTGCCTGTGGCCTGGGCAAGCAGTCGAGGACGGCCCAAAGCTTTGGGACCCTGCACCTGTGTGGGAGACCCGGAGAAGTTCCTGGCTCCTGGCTTCTAATCAACTTATTTCCAGCCACTTAGCCCCCCACACTTTTTTTTTTTTAAGATTTATGTATTTTTATTGGAAAGTCAGATATACAGAGAGGAGGAGAGACAGAGAAGATCTTCTGTCCGATGATTCACTCCCCAAGTGGCTGCAACGGCTGGTGCTGCGCGGATCCGAAACTAGGAGCCAGGAACTTCTTCCAGGTCTCCCACGGGTGCAGGGTCCCAAGGCTTTGGGCCATCCTCAACTCGACTGCTTTCCCAGGCCACAAGCAGAGAGCTGGATGGGAAGTGGAGCTGCCTGAATTAGAACTGGTGCCCATATGGGATCCCAGCACATTCAGGGCGAGGACTTTAACCACTAGGCCACCGCACCAGGCCTAACTTCAGCCCTTTGTGGAGTGAACCAGCGGATGGAAGATCTGTCTGTCTCCTTCTCTCCATAAATCTGATGTGCCTTTCCATTAAAAAAAAAAAGCATATATATGTTAAAAGAAAGAATAAGGTTTAAAAATAAATAAGTTTTGGCATGAATTTGGAGGAAATGTGTTCTGGACAGGGGGCTATTTGAACCCCCAGGAGGCCTTCTGGTGGAACCCTGTGGTACCAGGTGGACACCAGGTGTCCCTGGAGCCAAATGTCTTAAAGCTGGGACACTGCGCAGCCATCCCAGGACAAGGAACTCTGCAACTAGAAGCGGCCGTAGAGCCTGGCCTGCCTGCACCCCCTCCGGGCCCCGATGGCCCTCACCTGTGAGCAGCAGCACCAGCCCCATCGCCAGGAAGTCTGGGTACAAGGCCAGGACGTGAGGCACGCGCAGCGGGAACGCCCCCTGCAGTGCCGTGGCCATGTGGCCCCCCGTGAGGCTGTCGAAGGCGGAGCTCCAGGCCCGGGCCACGCTGGCTGCACCTGCAGGAGAATGGAGTCGCTTACCAGGTGGGAGCAGTGGGCAGAGAAACGAGGCAGATAAAATATGAACACGGGGGCTGGTGGTGTGCAGCTGCCACCTGCGAGCCCGGGTGCAAGTCCTGGCTCCCTGCTGGTGCACCCAGAAAGGCAGGGCTTCCTGCACCCTAGCGGGCGCGGGTAGGCACACATTCTGGCACAGCACAGAAAGCCACCACCTGTGGCCCTGGCATCCCAGATGGGTGCCAGTGAGTGTCCAACTCCCCGCCCGCGGTTTAGGAAAAGTAGCAGAAGATGGCCCAAGAGCTGGGCCGCTGGCACCCGTGTAGGAGGCCCAGATGGAGCACCCAGCTCCTGGCTCAGGCCAGGCCACTGCTGCCCTTTCGGGACTGAACCAGCAGATGGAAGACCGACCTTTCTTTCAAACCTGAATCCCAGCTGTCACTAACCAGGCCCGCTGGCAGTGCCGTGAGGGAGGAAACAGCAGGCCTCCAGGCACCCCAGCACCCCGACCCCAAGCCCCCCGTCCGTCTCACCAACGACGTAGGAGAGGATGAGGTTCCAGCCGGTGATGAAGGCCAGTAGCTGGCCCACAGTGACATAGCTGTAGAGATACGCGGAGCCAGAACAGGGGACCCGGGCCCCGAACTCAGCGTAGCACAGCCCGGACAGCACGGAGGAGAGAGCCGCCAGCAAGAAGCAGATGACAATGGCCGGTCCAGCTCTCTCTTTGGCCACGCCCCCAGCTAGGACATACACGCCCGCCCCCAGGGTGCTGCCAACACCCAGGGCCACAAGATCGAGGGTGTTCAGACATCGAGACAAGCGGCCTTCAGACTGCTCGCTGGGCTGCAGGGGCCGCCGGCGAACAAGCTGCCGGCCAAACCACCGCAGCTGCCGGCACAGCATCCTCCGGGCTCCGGACGCAGGGTCCCTGCTGGGGGAGAGAACAAGCTGGAAGTTAGCGGGAGTCACCGTATCTGGCCACGGGAGACAGCGCAGGCCAGTCGCACAGGGACCTCCCGCAGCATCCTGCATCTCTGGTGTCTTCAGACCTTGGTCGGGATCTCAGTTCTCAGGACATGGCCAGGTAAGCTGCTGCCTGCCGTGTCAGCACCACGCTTGGGCACTGGTTCAAGTCCCAGCTGCTCTGCTTCCACTCTGACTCCCTGCTAGCTAGCGTGCCTGGGACGGCAGTGGAACATGGCCCAGGTGCTTGCATTCTTACCACCCACACGTACAGGAGACCTGGACAGTCTCGGGCGCCCAAGCCCTCAGCAGGGAGCTAGATCGGGAGTGGAGCAGCCAGACCTCCAACCAGCATCCACTCGGAGCACCAGCACCACAGACAGGTAAGGGGTTAACCGGCAGTCCTGCGGCATCAGCCCCATCACTGTTAAAGAGACACAAGTTTTTAGAACCGTGCCTGCCACACAGAAACTTCCTCCTGATGGAAGAGGCAGACGTCTCCTCCTCCAAACGCCAAGAAAAAGTGATGTTTTTCCAAGGATGAGTTGGTTATTAGTGGTTAATAGTTGGTTAATAGTGATTAATAGTTGGTTAATGGTCCAAGGAGGAGGCGCCTGGCAGCAGGGGCCCGAAGAGGCTGCTGGCAGCAGGGGCAGCGCCAGCAAAAGGAACAAGCTCCCTGGTCTCCCAGGGACACTGCCTGGAGGGTGCCCTCCCCAAGGGAACCCTCACCCACACCCCAGTAAAGACAAACTCAAAATAAGAAGAACAAAAAGCCCTAGAAACGTGCTTGTTCCTGGCTGAGACTGGTAGGCCCTCATCCTAGCAGGCCCATCCCTCCTCAGCTGGCTGGTCTTAACCCTGCCGGGGCACGCCAATAGCGGTTAGCATCCCACCCTCCCTTCCGGCAGAGCTGCTGTCTGACTCTGTCTTTCCGTTATCAGAAGTTAAAAACGCTCCATGGAGCTGGGAGGATGGCCTCTGGCATTTGCTAGACGGGGCCTGGTCCTGCCAGCTCGGCCTTCCCAGCTCCCGGGGCCTCAGACTCCCGCCCGGTGACGCGAGAACTCTCAGAAGCCGATTTGATCCCTGGCCCAGCACAGCCCAGCACAGCCCAGCACAGCCCAGCACAGCCCAGCACAGCCCAGCACAGGCCCAGCAGCCCGAGCAGATTTCCCACTTCCTGTTTCCGACCCCAGCTTCTGAAGGAGCAGCCAGATTAGGAATCACTGTGCTGATTTGCATATCTGTTTGCAAAGGGATGAGACATGGAGATATCAAAGCTAAACCCACCTTCAGCAGGTGCCCCCAAGGAGCCCTACAGTGGGACTGTCCTGCTGTGTTGGTATTTACTCATTAATGAGAGAGAGAGAGAGAGAGCCATCTGCAGGTTCACTCCCCAGACTGCCACATCTGAGAGTGACCCAAGCCAAAGCCTCCGCACCGCCCAGGTGCCCCGTGCCGGAGCCGCAGTACCAGGTGTTTGTCTGAGCAGCAGCTCAACCCTCCCCACCTCCGTGCGGCCCCCGCCGCATCCCTGCTTTGTAACTGCCACCCATCAGAGGCCCAAGGTGAGACTTCCTGTGTGTGACATCAACGCTGTTGGAATGTAGAGCATTTTGCACGCACGCAGCAGGCCCTGGGGCCCCTTGCACTCTCCCTGAGGGCTCCCCAGCCCTGCCCTCGTGAGTGTGTGCGCAGCGTCCAGCGCAGGGACGTGAGGACACGTGGACAACCCCTGTGCGCAGATGACAGAGCAGTGGGGAAACCCACCCGGCCTGTCGGTCCACATTCCTGCTGGCCTCTCGCTGCGGGGCGGCCCGCCACGAGGGGACTCCCAGACAGGGAGCAGGACCCCTTCTCTGCGGTGGCCTTAGGACCACCAACCAAACAAGGCAGGGGACAGAATATCTTCACGGCCAGCTCCAAAGTCAGAAAAGAGCAGGGCCAAGGGCCAGCTGCTGCGTCTCAGTCACCAGGGCAGTGGAAATCCCTGCTTCCAAGGCCCGTCTTGGGGCGGGGGGGGGGGAAGCAGTGAGCCTGGAATGCCGTCCTCCCGCAGGATTCCATCAGCCTCATCCCGTCCTCCCACAGAGCCCCCATCCTGGGACAGGCTGCCGCCAGCAGCATGCTGTCCTGCCGGCCCCTCACCTCGGCGTGCCCAGGGGCCCCCCGCACAGAGCTTCCCTCCGAATTACCGGATTCCTAGCGCAGTCCCGGGAGCGCCCGGTCAGTCCGACCTAAAGGCCACGCAGTAGCACAGGCTGGAGCCGCCGGATCGGCAGGGGCTCCCAACCCAGGCTTAAATAACTCCAGGGAAGGGCGCGCCAGGAGGGCCAGGCTGGGCGGGGCACAGCCGCAGGTGATGAGTCAGCTGGTGCTGCCCTGTGGCCGAGCAGAGAACCAGCCCGCCAGGGGGGTTTCTTGTTTGTTTTGTTTCTTAAGATTGATTTATTTATTTGAAAGGCAAAGAGAGAGCTTCCATCTGTTGGTTCACTCTTCCACATGGCCAGAGTTGGACGTCTCCTGCAGCGGGGCACAGCTCCAGGCTCTAGGGCTGCCTTCTGAGGTGCAGGGCGCTGGGAGGGGAACGGAGCAGCCAGAACCCCAACCAGACCTGCTCTTACAGGACCAGGCGTCCTGCACGACCAGATAATTCATTGCACCACAATAACTGACACCCCCCAAGTCCAGTTTTTTTTTTAAGATTTATTTATTTTTATTAGGAAGTCAGATATACAGAGAGGAAAGACAGAGAGGAAGATCTTCCATCCAATGGTTCACTCCTCAAGTGACTGCAATGGCTGGAACTGAGCCAATCCGAAGCCAGGAGCCAGAAACCTCCTCCAGGTCTCCCACGCGGGTGCAGGGTCCCAAGGCTTTGGGCCGTCCCCCACTGCTTTCCCAGGCGACAGGCAGGGAGCTGGATGGGAAGTGGGGCTAGATTAGAACCGGCGCCCATATGAATTCCGGAGCATTCAAGACTAGGACTTTAGCCACTAGGCCAGGCGCCAGGCCAGAGGCCAATTGTTTATGTTTCTTTGTTTTGTTTTGTTTTGTTTTGTTTGTTGTTTTGTTTTGAGCACCGTGAATGCTGTGGCTTTTCAATGGGTAAGCGTCATTCCATCCACAAAATAAGCAGATTATCACCAGAAGATATTTGCAACCCAAAACCTGCTCGGGGGTAATCCAAACATCATCAGGGCAGCATCACATCACTTTCTCCTTCTTCAGGAAATGGTGGGGTTTTCTTAGGAAGAAAATGAGAAAGGGCCACTGCTGGCGAAGGAACATTCCTCTCCTCTCCCACCCATGCCTTGGTAACAAGGTGTCTGTCCAGGACACTAGGGCAAAGTATCCTGGGACGGCCTGTGGCACCCCCTGCTGGCCATCATCATGACTGCAGCGTCTCCCTGCAGACTTACCATGCCGCTGTTTGCACATTTAGAATCCCCACTGGGGCACGGCGGTGGCAGCCTCAGCACAGTGTCACAGGAGGTGAAGATTGGTGAGCCACGAGCTGGGGCTACGGAGACAGTGGTGGAAACCTAATATAAGAACCCAGACCTAAAACTCACTGGAGGGAGTGGCACAATTGGCTACGAACAAAGAGCCGTGTACCAACTGCAATAAGTAAATCTAACTGTAGACCTGTGGGTGACAGAGCTTAGAAACCTGCCCCAAGGAGAAGACTCTGCTAGCCAGAAGTACAATGACCAAGAGCAAAAGAAGAGACAGAGGCACAATGAATATTACTGAAGACCCCCCTGCAAAGCAGCAAAACCCTGTGCCAACCTCAGAGTTCACTGAAGAAGACATTGAAAAAAAAATGGGAGATACAGAATTCAAAACACTAGTTATAAAACTTATCAACAATGAGAAGCACATAAAGCAGGCATTCAAGGAATTTAAGGACTGTGTTGGCACTGGAAATGAATCAATTGAAAGCTGATACATTAGAAATGAAGAATACAGTGGAGCAAATTAAAAGTACAGTGGAGAGTCTCCAAAACAGAATGAAGGAGGCAGAAGAAATAATCTCAGAATTGGAAGATATTTCCTGTCCTCACAGGGAAACAAACAAAAAGCTGGAAGCAGAGCTGGATCAGACCATAAAAAGTATTCAAGAATTGAAAGACACTATTAAGAGGCCAAATATAAGAGTTATGGGAGGGCCCAGCACGGTGGCCTAGCAGCTAAAGTCCTTGCCCTGAACACTCCCATATGGGTGCTGGTTCTAATCCCAGCAGCTCCACTTCCCTGCTTGTGGTCTGGGAAAGCAGTCGAGGACCCTGGAACCCTGCCTTGGGACTCTATACCTGCATGGGAGACCTGGAAGAAGCTCCTGGCTCCGAGCTTCTGATTGGCACAGCACCGGCCGTTGCAGCCACTTGGGAAGTGAGTCATTGGATGGAAGATCTTCCTCTCTGTCTCTCCTTCTCTGTATATCTGCCTTTCCAATAAAAATAAATAAATCTTTTAAATAAATAAATAAAATTCTTCCATAGTAAAGAAAAGTTAAAAGAATTTGCCTCTTCCAAACCTGCCCTACAAAGGATACTTCAAGATGTTCTCTTGTCAGAGAAGAGGAATAGCACCCAGCAAAACCAAAGGCAAATGGGAAGAACATCCCAGTAAAATAAGAACAGGAGACTAAATCAATGAACAACCCATTGCTAAAATGACAAGACCAAATTACCACCTATTTGTATTAACCCTGAATGTAAATAGCTTAAGCTCAATCAAACGTCGTAGATTAGTAGACTGGATTAAAAAACAAAACCCATCTGTTGCCGACAGGAGACACATTTCACCAACAAAGATCAGCGGAAACTACTTCTCATGGATTTTGATCTTTTGTTTTAGTTTTATCTCTTCAAAACACTTTCTTCTGATTAAATTCTCCAATGATTCATAGATGATACAGTAGCATCATTTTC